GCTTGCAATGCCCTGGCTAAGCCTCTCCTTCCTCCGAACATAACACTCCTGGCTAGGCTTTGCTTTGGGCAAAGTATTTTCTATAGATGTGAAAGCATCTGTTATGTTAAATTTGTTAAGGCATTTAGCCTTTTCTGTATAATCCAATGACAGTATACATGATTCAGGGAAATGCTGTGCGCTCTGCTGATTGGCTTTAAAATGTGCACACTTTTCCACTTCATTCTCTTCTATGTTCTTAAAATCTGACTGATTTGCACCTTCACATTCTTGTTTCTGTTGCATATCACAATTTTGAGTGCTTGATTTTTCAGATTTCTTCTTTTCGAATGTTGGTATTGGACTTGCTATACCACCATGCTTTCCTTGAATTTTACTATCTTCAGATTGTTCAACTTTAGTTAACTTTGCTCGATTCATTGCAGACCTCCTAGATCTTGAGTGAAATACATCTTCCAGCAAGGTCTCATTACCAGTATTTTCCTTTACATTGCCTGTGCCATCTTCATGTTTCATTAATTCATAAAGTTTGCTAAAAGGAGACAATTCATTTGCTTTTTCAATACTGTGCATTTTGTACTTAAATTCAGGTGGGTCGCTGTATTGTTTTTGAAGTTTCTTCTCATTTCTTCTGGGAGAACAAGTTTCACATTTCTTGCCTACAGGAATATGAAACAGGCAGTTTTTAAAATCTGTTTTCTTGAATAAAGTTAAAATTATTTTTGAATCATTATATGGATAAAGTACTAATCAGAAAGTAATTTTTGAGGAATTAAGCAGACGTTTACAAATCCTTAGAAAAAAGTGCTTCACAGCACACAGGGGTGTGTACAAAACATCTCTTTTCAAAGCAGTCTTCTTTTTCAGCCTCGAGCAACAGCTTTGTAACTGTTCTCAATGGTAACAGCTAGAAACTGTTTAGGAAGCAACTGTATAAATCTGCAAAAATATATCACTTTTTTGGTGATCTTAAAAGATGTGCTTTGGACAGATCTGCATACATTACATTTTACCTCCTTCAAAGGACTTGCATAATTCTATTAAATTCAACAAATCAAAACTTACAGAAGCCAAATTTTATTTGTAACTGCCAAACAATATAGTATAAATATATGCAAACAGATTATTTGCAATTTTGCAAATCACTTACCTTAAACATGGTTCTAATCAGTGAAATTTAAGGAATAGATTTGTTCATAAGCTATTTTATGAAAGTTACTTAATGGACAAGAAAATATATGGGTCACGCTCTAAAATGTAATTTGCTGTGAAATATTGTTTCTAATATAATTTTAAGACAAGCCTGTTTCTCAACTCTTCATTATCGTGGTTTGATAAACTGGGTCACTAACAGGCTCAGAAAATCATTCATCGATGAAACCAAATCCATTCATGTATTTTAACAGCAAATTCCTAATGGCTGCTTTCATTTGTTTTACCACTCACTGGTAAACACATCCTTTTTATTAATAAAGTCATTAATATAATAAAAAAATTATAGAAAAAGAACAAAAAAAATACCAACCAGTAATCGGAGAACTTTTGTAATCTTCGTTTTGTGGGTGCAGCAAGTCCATCTGTTGCATATGCTGAACATGAAGAATCTATAACATTAAACACAATGCAATAGAACAAGGAATTTAATACTTCTTTTAAGCTTTCCATTTTTCTTGTAAAATAACTTTCCACTGAAAATTTCTTAGAATAAATGATTGAAAAGATAATACAGTATTTTTCATCTCTCATCTGAAGCCAAGAGTATTATGCAATCTGTAATTGTCAGGACTCAGCACTAGAATTTTGAATTGAATTTTAGAATTCAATATGGACATCCACTGGGTAAACCATTACTATTATTTCCAAAACTCACGAGCTTTCAAAAAACTAATGGACCCCCTTACTTCAAACTTCTATGTATAAAAACTAATTATTTACAGTGAAAGAAACATATTTACAGTAGTTCTCTGAACATTAAAAGCTGTGCAGATACATTATGTAGAATCTAAGGCTGCAATATAATACCATTGAGGAAAATTCCAATTAAGATTAGATTCTGTACATATGAAAACTAATACCACTTTGTCTAAATCTCAATGATACATTTATTGTCTCCCCTTTCAATATTCCATATATGAAACCTCAGTTCAACAGACCTCAACATAACAAATTACGTAACTAACTTAAGAAATTATGTAACTGACATAATTTAAAATAATGTAAATCAATACTTAAGTCTTCTCCCTCCTCTTAAATGACCCATCAGTTTTAAGTTCATCTTAAGATCTTACAGGTTTGGTCTTTTACTTTCAATTGGATATTCTAACCCAGCTCACAATAAAGTAGAGAAACTATTAATAACCTTTCATAAGTCAAGTGTCAACTTACAGCACTAACTCCCTTTCTTTTTCCTTGTAGAAAATATGAATGACAGACCAAAGAAAATATCTTAATTTTCTAAAGCCCAACACCAAAACTAGATTTTGTGTTTCCTATGAATTATAATATAGTGTGGAATAGAATGACTAAAAATGAAATGTAACTGGTAATGATCAATTACTAAATCAAGTCAAAGAGCAACATACTGAATTATTTATTAATTTCTACATTTTTATTATTGTCCCCTTCTTCCAAATTAAGAAAAACATGGTTTTTATTTTACCTGTAATGTTTCCTTCTCTTGAGATCTAGAAAATCTCTTCTGAGGAAGTGGGGGAGGTGGATATTCAAACCTATTCAAGTAAAAAGATTAGTTAAATTAAAATTAATCCAACTTTAACTTTTCCTTATCAAATTCTTTTAAGATCTCCTTGATTTTTACGTTTCTAAAAAGCAATGGCTGACATAACCTATTTCTAGCACACCCATATTTGCTTATATTATTGTTACATACCTGAAAGAACGATCAATAATTGTAAGTATATCTCCATGTTTTAAGTGTGTGGGATCTTGAAAGTGATTCCCATTTAGCTGTGTTGGATTTGCAGAACTCAAGTTAAACAGCACTGCCTAAAAATACATAGGAATAAAATTATGTATATCCAGATCAATCAATGAAACACAAGTACCAGAAATATTACGACTGCATAACAACAAAAGTAATAATACATACCTCTTTATTTTCATTGACTTCAATTTTACAATGTTCTTTAGAAACTTGAGGAAGCTGGATTCGAATATCACATTGTTTTTCCCTTTAAAATATAATGAAATTATTACAAGGTTATCAGTTCAAATTATATAACTACATGCTCTTCTACATACATCTCTTAAAATATACTGTGATCTCTAAATCTAATTCATTTCTACCTAGTATAACAAGGCAATGCAGCTGTTGCTGAAGATGCATTGAGACAACCTGATTTTTAGGTTGAGTTTTAAGAACTTCTAAAATAAATGGTTAGGTTTTTGATTAGACAAATGTCTTGCATAAATATACATCGAAGCAGATCAAATCCATTATATGTGACATGCGTTGCGTGACTAGAAAAATAATATATATCACAATGAAGGAGTGCAGGAAAGTAAGTTATGACAATACCTAAAACTTATGCCACAAAAAGGACAGCCTAAATCACAATTGCATAAAGAAAATCCTACATAAATAAACCCTTATCAATTTAAAGTCTTACCTTCCAAACAAACAAGAGCTTGCGGTGAGCGGAAAATGAGTTCCATCGGTCCCATTTCTCTTAATAACAACAATTTGCCCAAAAAATGGCATTTTCAATTTGTATATCTTACCTCTAAGGAAAAAATAAAATGAACATTATTGCAGATTTCAGGACAACTTGGTGACCATATGTGGAAAATTCATGGTTGTGTATATTGTTTGCTACCACAACTGAGGTGAAAGGTCCTTTTCTATTTTTTGAATAGAAAAAAAATACATTATATTATGTCTACAAGAAAAATGTGTTTTAAGTCTATAATGGACTTTTGGCTATCAGCATTGTGTCACATCCCCTGGTCATGTGATCTGGGTGCTGGGCAACTTATTTTCACTTATGAAGTTGTCAGGAACCCTGAGAGCATGGGGTCACCATCTACAATCTTCTGATGGCTTCCCTAGAAAGTCAATGAAGACTTACTTAACAGTAATTTGTTTGTTGACTACTTAGTGCAAGTAATTTTTAAAAAACCCAGGAACTTAAATTGTGAAAAAAAATCAAGAGGGAAAAAGAAAAACCACAATAATCCATTAATGTGATGTAGGATTAATGCAGTCTACATGCTTTACTTTGGACCCCAGAACTTAAATTTATTCATTTTATCATCTCACATCTATCTGTATTAGAATTATAGTTAGCAATCTCAATTGCTTTAAATATTAGATAGGTATTATCTTATACCAGATAATCCTCTTAATGTTTTCTGGAATAAGAATGCAATCTAGGACAGAGTGGTGGGTAGACTACATGCTGCTCCCCAATGAACTATTTCTGACAGAATATTCAAAGACCTTACCAGGCTTGGACTTTGAGAATCTGAACTACTCACTAGGTGAACTTGGATTTCAGGCCTCTTGGAGCTGGGAAGATACTTTATGACATCAGAACAAGGGCAGGGGAATTGAGATGCAGGCCAATGTGTAGTATGAGTAACAAACTCATAAGTGATGTCTGATCTTAAGCTTGATATTACCTGCTTGAATTAGATGCTGGGGAAGTTTCCTGCATGAACTGCAAGTTTACATTTCTCTACCTACAGTTGTACCTGTAAAAGAAGAAAAACCATAGATTAACTCAGAAACTGAAGTCTTCTGTAATAAGGAAAAAGCAATAAACCTACTTATTGAAAAACACAATATTTTTCTTACATCTAAAATGGATATATCTATTTGTACTTAACTCTTCTGTTCAACTAGGTTCACCTAGTACAGGATACATACTGTTTTATTGTGTTAGATTAAAATAGCAAGCCAATCACAGCACCTGAAACATTCTCAGAATAGCTTTGTTTTATATGAAAGTTGGTACAAAACCAGTATTGGTAGAGGACAGGATAAAATCTCCTGTAATGTGGACAAATTACCTGAGTTAGGATCACTGACACCAGCTGGCTTCAGCTTGAAACATTTGGGAAGTCGATTTGGATGGCTTAAAAAGACCAGTAGCCAAATTCAAGGATAAAACCATTCAGATCTACCTATAGCATTCTTAAGCTAGAGCATTGTGCTGATATCTGCTGGAAAATTTCATTAGCAATAATTGTATACCACATCATAGAAATTACATCAAACCTCGGCTCCACAGCGCTCACCAAAAATGCATAATTCAAAGAACTGTAACAGAGTAGCTGCCATTTATCTCATAAGGCATAAAACCAGTTCACTCCTTTGTTCCCCTTCTGCTTCCGTTTCAAGCCACGATGTTATTTTTTAGATCGTACGTTAGCAAAAATAAATCATTTTCTTACAGTCTTAAGATCTGTAGGCGTCCTGTTAAGGACCACTAGCGAGCTAAACCAAAAAGGGGCCCGTCCCTCCCCCCCTTAAATATCCTGCACATTCATTTCAATTGCCCTCCAGCCTGAACACCACCGTGGACAGTATCGCAGTCAGAAACTCACGGCGCCTCCCTTTCTTTCCTCAAGCCTGGCACATCTCGTTTCCCAGCACCAGCCAACTCCTCTTCTCAGCACCGCTTCTTCCTTCAGCAAATCACCCCGAAGAAACCCCGCCCGCGTTCCCCGTCAACGGCACACCCGGGATCCCCTCTCGCCTCCGAGGCAGCGGCACCACCGCGCGCGCGCCAAATCTCCCCTTCCGCTCATTCAAACCGGCCGACTCCTCCCCGCCCTCGGAGGCCGCTGCAGCCTCACGTGTATCCTTCCGCCGTCTCAAGACTGCGCCGGGTGGGCGTCAATTCTTCCTCCCTGTGAGGGACCGCATTACCTGGATCCCCACACGCTCATTTGCCGATCCAGACCGTGGACAGCTTCTTAAGCGCAAGTATAGCACTTCTACCACCACCTGTGAATTTGGTTTTGTTTTTTTTAAAGCGATCGACGGACTCTGATTGGTCAACTGTGTAGTGATGTCAGGACAAAAGTAATCCAATAGGGAGGGAGTCCGAATGGACTTCAATTTTTAAACATAGGTTAGACTTTTCCCCCCACCCGCGTTGCGATACACTTTCCTTTACTATTTTGAATTGAAGATTATATTGTGGCAATTATGTTTTTTAAAGAAATGCTCAGCTCTGCAATGGATCCCACTCCAAAGGGAGGGGAGGAGGACGTACATGCATCAGTTATCTCATGCTTATCATGTTACCATAATGCACTTTACATGGATCTGCCCTTGGAAAGCTACAGCTGGTTCAAAAATATGACAACCTTGACACTGGCATTGTTTTCTGGATGCAGTTCAAGATAGCTATCACCTTTTAAAGCTCTTCAGATTATCTGATAAATTGCCTTCTCTTACATTCATCTACCTGTCCAATTAAATCAAATATAGTCAGCTACCTCAAGGTCCCACTCCTATGGGATTATCACTTAATAAAGCTTTGGAACCTGGTAATTTCAATAATCTCATGACTCCAGGTATTCCCTCCCAGCAGAAATTCACTCAGCCTTGTTCCTTTTCAGCTTTAGGGAAATTTTGGGGTATTCAGAATTGAGTGATGTACAAACCAACTGACTGAATAAATAGAAAGTAGTTGCTAAATACTGGCATAATAGTTTTGAAATTTTTGACTTTTAAGTCATTTAAAAAGCAGAGAATGTTGTTAGTTCTTGGGAGTATTTGATTTTAATGTTATTATTACATTAATCTATCTTCATTCTGTGCATTGCTTACTTTTGCACCCTTTTGCTCATGAAGACTTCTTCAAGCGCATTCAAAAATGCAAAAAATGTTCTACTATAGTGACCAGCTAAGTTTAGATGACTCTATATTCTTTGCATGCTCTTGGTTCCTACTGATGTACATGCCTTTATGTATGATAGACTGTATCATCTTCAAATGTTACCTGAATCCCTCTCAATCTACTGGACA